ACTCTTTCTTAATAAGCAGCCCAAAATAAGTTGCCTAATGGAGTGTCATGTTGAAAATCTATTCCCACTAGTTACACCCTTAATGGGTTCCTGTCAAAAGATAGAATAAAAATAATGAGTAGGTATCTATACTTTTTTCTCTTCTTTTCATAGCTTTTTATTTTCTGTAACCAAAAAATACCTCATAAAGAAAAGGAAGCAGAATTGTACGGAGCTGTAATCCGAGACTCTCCTTCCAACTTTCATAAGATCTATTTACGATGATTAGAGCAGAGTGAAGGAAAATGCTGAATAGACCTATAGTTCCCTCTCCCTGAGACAGAGCTGGGTTTGCAAGTTGTTCATTTGATTCGGGTTGGTATCTGTCTCCATGGCAATGGTACCTGTTCGTAAATATTCTTGCTGCAGGTTCATCTGATATTAGGGTAGGCAATTAAAAGTTTGTCTCAGCCATTTATCATCTCTCCTTGGTACGAAGCTTTTCGCATCATCTCGTTCTCTTTCGCATTAGGAATGTGGTCATTCCAGAGCCTGCTGGTTTGCTGGCGTCTTTAGGGGGAGCCTTTGAACCTCTGAAAGTCTTCTTTGTTTCCCCTTTCCAATGTCTCTTTTGAGGTCCCCTTATTTGTCAATTGATTGTCATTTTGCAAATGTTTCATGTCTTATCAGTTTGAAAATAGAAACTTGACCTCTAAACAAACAAAAAAGAATGATTGGTACTTTAGAATTCCTAAAAAGACAGTATATATAGATGTGTGTGTAACTGTGTGTGCACACAGGTGTTTGCAAACATTAGGAAGGTCTCAACTTTTCATTCTTGTGGAGGACCACACTCTGAAATATAGCTATATAGTTTTTGGATGGTAAAACTTATTTAACTTTATTAAGAACTGGTGACAGCACATGGAATTAGTGCTTCCTGTTGTTTAAATTTCTGTTTGGGAAATAAAATGTTAGCAAGCCCATGTCAGACTTCTATCTTCCCCGCCACCCCACCCCCCGGAATTTCACTGACTTGATGAGATGTAAAATCTCTGGAGTGGGTGTTGATGAGAAGACCGAGTTCTGATTGATGGAGTGATTGATCGAATAATTTATTGATTGACAAGTGATGAAGGATGTTGGAATGAATCAGGCAGGGCTATTCTGAGAAGCATCCTTTGAAGGTATTTTAAAAGTTAGACAGTTTGTCCCTCAAAATAAAAAAAAAAGTCTCACTGGAATGATATACCAAGTTTAATGCTCTAGACTGTGGGAATGGCTTTAAGGGCAGATAACCTGAAGTTTGCGTATGCTTAGACAGTAAGTAATATTTGACATACAAATTACCTGGCTCTCAGTATGTAAATACCTGCTGGGCATACATGAGAACACAGCTTCCGGGGCCAGCAGGTGGTGTGATGGTTAAGGGCGCTGGGCTCCCACATGACTGACCGTGGTTTGAGTCCCGGACCTGGTGGCTCACTTTTGCACTCGCGCTCTCTTTTGCACTCGCTCTGTCCCTCTCTGGTTGAATTAAAATAAATAAATAAAGCTAAATAAAATAATTCTTTAAAAGAAAAAATAACCTAGTTTCCTCTCGACTTTACCTTCTGCGCTATACTTTACATTTTCAACGTTCTCTCTTTAACCAGTTAATTTCAACATCTTGTACACTAGTTGGGCTTTAGACCTTTCTTGGTCTAAAACTATAGTGTAATCAGCGGTCTGTCATTCTTCTAAGCAAGGCCAGAGTTAGACTAAAACAAGTCATGAAGCCATGCACAATCTTCTGTGCCTCTTGATGGTGATGGCTTACTAGGACCTATTTTATACTTTCTCCGACAAGCGTTAATCCACAAGTCTCCTGAGGGATTTTCCTAAGTGAACATAGGCTATCATTGCTGGCATTGGGAATCACCGTACATAATTTTTATTATGAGTTTGGAGGATTCTTAAGAAAAGTTACCTGGTAAATAAGCAAGAAGATTCACAGAAAGTCACTTGATGAAATTCTATACAGGACACTTCACCATTGCAGGAATTATGGGAGCGGTATGTACAGTCTTATGACATTGATTCTGAAATTTTGAAACAGAATTTCACCCCTTACCTGCCCTCAGGAGC